CATTTATGATGGTATAACTCACAAAGAACTCCACTTCGGGCAGGATGCCCAACGACATGGAGGAGATTGACTCGTCCTTTCATCAGTTCGCGAAGCCGCGAGGCGTGTGGTCTCTGGCGCATTCCATGTTCGCGGATGATGACAAGTCAGTGCTAGAAGTGTTATCTGACGAGGCTAAGGCTCAGTAACTCGTCGCGCTAGCCACAGTCTTATGCTTGGTAGTGGCAGGTACTTCCGATTTAGAGAGGCTCTTGAAGAGTGTCAACAGGAATACGATGAGCTTGTGGCAGGAGTTTTTTCCACTGTAGGTTTGAATGCTCTCCGTCGCTTGTTACGTTATGGGATTGATCGACTCAATTTGATGAATAGTTGTCTGTGCTTTCCAGATCCTCTGTTGGTTCAGAGATGTTCTTGCTTTCAGAACCTGACCGATCGGAGTAGCAGCGAGGACGAGGCTAAGCATAGGGCGAAGCGAAGGAAGGTAGATTCGTCAAGGGGAAGAGGAAGACCTAGGAAGCTAGAAAAGGTGGGAAACGTCATGTATAGTAGAGATTGCCCACACGCGTACTCAGTCGGCCGATGATGAAGCCCTGCTGAACGATAACGGCTCGTGGCTCCTCTCAATGCGAGGGCGAGCCGGTAACTCTGGTGTCATGCAGCGCTTCTCGGACATGCTACAGGAGTCTCCCCAACTACATGGTGCCGATGAGGACGATGAAGAGCTTGAGACAGGGCTGCAGGTGGGTCTTATAACTGTGAGAGGTATCGTGGACTCGTAAAGTACTCAGGCACCGTCCGTTGTGTGGGCTAAGATACCCGGAAGAGGCCCATCCTGGACACCAGCGGTTCTTACGCATGTTCTCCGAGGGGTGAGTGTGCCCATAGCGTTGTGGTTATTTGAGCATTGCTTTCAGGCCGCCTCCACAGCACCGTACATGGTCTACTTCCTCGAGAAGGAGCAGTTGCCAGTGGCTCATTTGCGACAATCACAGTCAGTGTGGGAGGATTCGCACGTGGTCAACAACATGTGTTGCTGACAATATGAAAATTCTGGGGAAATTTTGGGAAATATTCGTTGAACAACTCTGCTCGAATTCGTTATAAAACTTCTATAATCAGTGACCTCAGCTGAGGAAAGCGAATGTGCATTCGTCCAACGCCGATCACAGTGAGCGGCTTCAACTTCATCATCGTCCACCATCTCCTGTGTAGAAGTGTTGGCTCGGTCCTCGGAGACTCGTCAACAGCCGAATCAGGAGAGGAAGAATCTGTGAAGGAGAGTAGCACAGTGCATACGGAAAGCTCTGAAGAGCAATTGGTCGAAAGTGAGCGAACAGTTTACACTTCGTGGTTACACTTGAAATATCATCAGACGTAAGCCTTATGAAGGAATGCCCGGCAAGTTGTCAGGAGTTGGTGACTATGGACGAGCACGGGCGACCCATCTCCGATTGGCTTAGGGACTTGATGGCCCGTCGAGTAAGCAACCCTGCAGTCGGGCCTGAGGGCGTGCGTATGCTGACACTCATGGGTTGATCTCAGCTGAATGCAGAGGAGCAGGATAGAGCGCCGAAGTTCAGTTGGCTGGAGCGCAACGCTATACAGCCGTGGAACTGTCCTCGAAAACAGGACTACCACCGAATAGTGAGTTTCCAACAGAAACTCATGGGGTAAGCAGCGGTTGACGGTCAGATACAACGAGCGCCGAGTCATAAGAAACGACATCTTCTAGATGCTGTACTTTTCGGCGATGCATTTTACTCGGGGGAGTGAGTCTTCACTGTGTATGTTGGCTGATCGCCCGGGAATGCTCTCAGGTTTGCTTCCTGTGGAAGGAAAGGACTCCCGACACACATTTTCAAGGAATATCTCCGCTTGCAGTAAGCTCGTGAGTGAACCGTGATGGAGTTACTTGTATTTTGTGAGGAAACACCAATCGCATATAGAAGCCCAGAATAGATCTATGGTTGCGAACGAGCGTCTTTATACTGAGATCTTTACAAAAAAGTACCTCGAGCTGTGCATACTCGGTAAGGGTGTCACTACGGCCGGCTCTGAAGTCTTCTTGATAGAACTACAAGGTCGTTGCCTTGGGCGAGCGAAGCAGTTCGTTGAAGCTGTGAAGGACGAACACTACGGAGGTTGGCATTTGATTGCAGCGCAGGACTGGCCAACTGATGAGCAAGTACGTCAAGGCCTTGAGGAGGATGTGATGTTGGTATATGCTGGTGAGTAGTAGTAGTCGTAGTTGCGATAATTGGTCGAATATGCAGGTTCGGTATTGACTCGAGAGGAGGCAATGCAGATGGAGACAGCCAGTGAGAACGTTCATACCGATGATAACAGGTAGGTCTCGGATTTTTCCAGTAGTTCCTCAACGAAGAGCTGTCTGGTGTGATAGTTATCGTGGGAATAGTGTATCATTCGATTTGGAAGGTACGTGGCGGAGATACCCAACTCTAACTTCATGTGGGACTTGTACTCAAGCAGGAAAATGGTGGAGACTGAGCACAACTTCTTCGTCAATGGGTGAGTTCTGTCGGCACTCTGTGAATTCTCTCCTTCCCTTGTAGTGTGATGCTTGTTCAGGGCGCAATACGCCGATCCGTCATCCCTTATGTGGAGTATAGGACCGACGGTAAACCACGAGAGGGTAGAATATTGCAAGTTGGAGCCTCGGCATTGTGAAGTTAAATTGCGGAGAGCTTCCTCAAAGAACGGGGATGAGAATCAGTGGCTTCGGGTGAGACGTTCGCTGGTGCCAATTTGAGGAAAGAGCTCGGCCTCAGGGATTCTGGCTGCAGCGAAAACGAGGCGAGATAATCACCGAGGGCGAACCGTTGTTCTGGTCTTACGATGGTGGAGCTGGAAAATTCGATAGGTGGGTTTGCAACGGCGTTGGTGTGGAGTGTCCACGACAGAGACTTCAATCTAATCGGCGCCCCTCCACCACAAGGATGGATCTCAACTGAAGAGATCAAGAGCCGACGACGACGTCGTGGCGGTGGTCATGATAAGAAGTTTGAACATCTACGTTGGTACATTAGTGTAA